CCTTATAATCCAATACTCATTAATATAATAGTTCGATAATTTCTTAAAATTACATAACCAATATTGGTCTCATTTGAAAGATCATGAAAAATAAAAAATGTTGATATAAATTTTATAAAAATCGGATCAAAAATAAAAAAGTTATTAACATTTTTTAACAACAAAAGCAAAAAACAAAAGAGGCAAGCTGCGTCGTTTTGCAACCGGGCGCACCGGTTGCACGGTATAATCTGCCCTTTCTCCCTCTCTCCGAATTGGAATCGAAATTGGTGGATCTCTAGGTGCCTCATAGTAGATTCGAACGTTGTTCTTGGTAATACATTCCAATGCCTTGCGTTCGAGGTCTTGATCAGTTGCTGTCTCTCTCTGAATGGATCTGATTTTTAAAACTGTTTCTGCTACTTAAAGGAGCAGAAGCAAAAGTTGGAGTGTTTGGGTGAAATTGCAGAAGTGATTATGATGCTCTAATTTACTCCTAGAATCAGTTTTTTTAGGGGGTGTCCTCAATTCGGATTTTACAAGATTTTAAAGGATTGAGATTTTAATGGATTTTAATGGAATTGAATAGAATCTGTTGGATTCCATGGAATTGAAAATCCTCACTCTAAAATCTATTGGATTCCATGAAAATGAAACAGAATCGTTTTTGGCTTCCTCCGCAATTGAAATTGATTCTGGATCTTGGATGGGTGCATAGTCTTTGATTTCAATTTCAAAGAAATAAGAATCGTCTTTCAATTTCAATTTCAAAGAAATAAGATCTAGATCTTGGATGGGTGCATATATATGGTGCGATTCCGGTGAGAACACTCCTTAACGTGAGAAATGAGAACACTCCAAAATGATGCACTTTATCATTCACAAAACTGCATATTTATAGTTAAAGTAATGCAAAATTCTAATGTGCACATTTACTTTTAAAATTTTGCAGAGACGAAATGCACATTTTCCAATTTTTTATATGCACGTTTCTGTTTTACATGATGCACAATGCTCAAATCCAACGCTCCAGAATCATTCTCATTTCTCTCCTAAGATGGTATTCTCATTTGATCCTTACCCTATATATATATATATATATATATATATATATATATATATATATATATATATATATATATATATATATATATATATATATATATATACGTATATATATATATATATATACGTATGTATATATGTATGTATACGTATGTATATATGTATGTATACGTATGTATATATGTATACGTATATATATGTATACATATATATATATATATATATATATATATGTATATATATATATAGATTTAGGATCATGTGAGAACTTAATCTTAGGAGAGCAAAAAAGAATCAATGTCATCCATTAGATCTTGATTTCTATTATTATTTCGGCACTTCCTCATTAAGGGTAAATATGATATTTTCATATCACATTAAAGCCATTCGTTTGTTTCCATAACTATCACATACTCCGTATCTTTCTCTTCCATAGAAGTTATAACTATGTCCATAATTATCTTCGTACAATATCCCAAGTATAATCATTGTATAACTATTCATATGATTTTTTAAGGTTATTCACATGCACATTCATCCTTCTCAATAGCTCTATCCCTTCACGGGGAGTCAAACATATGAAGCTTCAAGATGCACAAGCTTCAGACAAAGGCTTTACAACCAATCCGGAAACAGGCCGCCGAACTCCACTGTGGACCCATGTTCTGCCGCTAAACTGCGTTCAAAATGCCCCATCTCTGGCGGAAACGATAACCGGCCTCTTCTTCTTGGGCTATGTCAACCCAACTGAAACTAAGTTTGACAATTTATACTTCAAGCACTCGTTAGAAAACAAAGGACTTCTCAACTCCGGCCAAATTCTAGCCACCGAGAACAATGAAGTGTCTTTGCAACTAGCTAGTTAAAGTGTATTTGAATTCATCACACGCTGAACTCATTTAATCTTTATAATTAATTTTATTTAATTAATGACGCACTTTATCATACTCTAGTCTGCTATTTCACTATTCTTTTCCGAAAAATGGTCTGCACTTTTATTAGTTTATTATTATATTTTACTATTTTCCATATATGATGATGTGTCAATGGAACTACAATAATCCATTGGAAGAAAATGTGCTTTGAATTTTGTAAAAAGTGTCATTGTAAAATTGTAGCAAGTGTAGTGAAATAGTACAATGCACTTTTGTATGTAACTCAAATACACGTGATAAAAGTACGTTTCATTTAATCCCACGTGTTGCATTTAAAATCGTTAATAGTGCAACATTTTGCATATCGTGGTGCATTATATTTTATACCAAAATGTAAATGAAAATTTGTATAACACAATCAACGAAAGTGCATATCATTCTGCAAAAAAAGTCAAAGTAAAAATTAAAAAAATGTGATATAGTGGTGCACATTTGTATGTATTTAGAATGGACATGATAAAAGTGCAGTTCATTTTGTAAAAAAGTGCCAATGTATAACTTAAAAAATTTATGTAATAGTGCACTTTGTATGTATTTAAAGTGCACATGATTGATTTAGTTCACGCCGTTTGTTTCTTTATTTTCCTTTTATTTAAAATTACTTGATAAAAATAATGTATATAAGTGTAAAATAACATGTGTAAAGTGTAGGTATAGAAAGAGCCGACTGAAGACATAAACGTGCAATTTGCAAAAGTGAAAATTATTATAATATAAAATTAATTCATCTTCAGAATGTTACGGTCCATTCATGAGTGGTACTGATTATTTAAATAAATATATATGTGCAAAAAAATCAAATATTTAATTAAATTAATGTTACACTCAGTTTTGAGTAAAAAGTGCATGTATTCAACGAATAGGTGCAAATTAACGAACCTATATTGATTCTATATATTGAGGAGTATTGCATCTGAATAGAAAAAGGTTAATCATGAAAAATAATTCTGGATTTCATAAATATTTTTCCAAATGAAATATCCGAATGATTTGAAAGAAAAATTAACATTGAAAGAAAATTAATAAATACTACGTATGAAATATTAATTAGAGAAATTAGGAGTTACGTATTCTTATTAATGCATAGCCTAAAAAATAGGATGCTTTCCTATAATGTTGGGTCATGCATGATAACCACTTAAACCACTTTACTATTGTGCCCTTTTGCAAATGTAAAAATGTATGTTTCCTTACATACGAGTTGGATTGTCCGCAATTAATGCATCATTTCCTTCTTTTTCGAATATTTCTAGACCATTGGATTGAGATGATTGAAGGTTAGATTTTAATCTTTTTTGCTCTCCTAAGAGGGTGTTCTCACAGGAACTAACCCCTATATATATATATATATATATATATATATATATATATATATATATATATATATATATATATATGTATGTATGTATGTATATATATATATATAAACACATTTTAGATATCTTAGGGACACATGAATACATACTTGGGGTATAAAATTGTTGGTCTAGATCTATTGATATAAAAAAATAAAAAAAAAATCAAATGCATTATTTACGAATGGTTCGGTCCGGTATTTTTCGGTTCTCGAAATCTAGGACCGGTCCCGTACCTTTTTCAAACGGTACAGTTTCGGTACGGGATAAAAATCTACAGAACCATTTAAATACCCGATATTCGGTTCGGTACCATTACGGGATGGTTCGGTACCAGTTCGGTTCGGGTTTTATGCCCACCCCTAAACAAAGGATAGAGGGGGAGGTGATACCGATGTTGTTACAGGGTACGGAAGAAGAGAACAAACAGGTCGATCGGCAACAAGGTTCTCCCGCACAGTGCTTCTCCCTTTGCTTCGCTTCTGCGATGACTTCCCTTGCTTCTGGCTTTGTTTTGGAAATCCGTGGAAATCCGAAGGGGAGCGCAGAGAGTTTCGGGGTTTTCTTTCCTTTGTATTTTAGCTTTGGAAATCCACGGGAATCCTTAGCAATCCAGAGTTAAAGAATCCACAAACACTTTGAGGACACCGAAATTTTAGCAGACTCCACACCAATCCAAATTCAGGACACCCAAATTCAGATGGAATTCTAAATTCCTTTAAAATCTGTTAGAATCCATATTGGGGACACCCCCTTTAGAAGCCGGGGGTGACCAGCTTCTGAAAACTGATTCTGATTCTGTTTCTACTTTAAAAAAGAAGCAGAAGCAGAATCAGTTCCGAACACCGCCTAAATAATCGTGCCCAGGATCGGTAGTAGTTGAAGTGAATGGTCCTTGTCCAGTTACTCTAAAATCAGCTTGCAACCGATTGGGTTACATATTCGACTTCTTTCGGGTATCAATTTTGAAAATTGCTTTAGCTAGTTTGAAAGTGTACACCATATAAAAGCCTTAAAAATCTTATTTCCCCCTTTCCTTAAAAAGTGGATGGGATGATCATCTTCTCTTCTTCATTCTCATTTTCTCTACCTTTTTATATCAAATTTTTTTCCATTATTTGCACAAAATCAATTTATTTATCTTATTTTATCTATTTTATTATTTTTCTAATTTTTTTCAAATTACATGTAAATTGATCACACATAAAACTACGCCATTCATTTGAATGTATATAGACAATTGATTTTTTTGTTCAGGAAGATAATTAAAATTGATCACACAGACAATTATTGTTTGTGAATCTCACAACTATTGTTTGTGCACACAGACAAATAATTGTTTGAGCAACAAATTAGAAAATATTGTCTGTGCACACAGGCACTGCACAGATATAAATTGATTTGCAATATGGTGTCAGTGTCAGACGACTGTCAATGTACCTCTTTACACGAAAATTAATGTTTGTTCTCACAGTCAACTTCGCACCAATTATCTCGATATTTTGTGTACAAGTTGGGAGTCGCCCAAAATTAGGCCGAACACCGTCTGGAAATGGTTGATCCCGAACCCAAGTTGGAGTAGACCCTCCCTTTAATTTCCCATTCCTACTTCATAATGAGAATGAAATCGAAAACCGTACACATATTGAATTCATAATTTGATCTTTTTATTTTTGATATTTCATCGACCCATTAATTTTATTTTGATTTTTCATTCATTAATTAATTTACTTTTGTAAATAATGTAGTAATGAAGAAATCAAAGATACTGATCGAATGTACACCATCTTACAACATGCGTAGCGCATCATGTGTTCAAAACAAAAACAAAAATATTAGTACTAGTATTAAATATAGGCAAGGTTTATATGTGGCAAGCTAAGAGCTGAGATCGAATTTTCAAACTTTGAGAAGCTCCAAATCCCCTAAACACTGCAAGAAATATAACAAAAAAAGACATTTATAAGTCAATTCAAATGAATTAGTATCACCTAGATCGCTATGTTTTACTCATTCCATGTGTTTTCTGTATATTTTAATCGAGAGTGTGTCTGATAAATAAATTTGACCTTGAAAAGAGGGAGTGATCATTATTAAGCTAAACAAGTAACATATCATATACTCTGTACTAGTTAGTATATACTGCATCGTCCCAATTTGATTTGCAAATTTGATTTTTTTGATCAAAAAGTTTTATTTTATTTGTTTAATTAGGATGTCAATTTTTAATTATATTCTAATTTAGAGTTTGCAACTTTGAAGATATATTATTGTAATTTCTAAATATGTAAATTTTAATTATTTAAAATTGAGTTAATTATCGATAGGGGGGTTGACTTTTATTATTGATTAACAAAAAAATGTTGACTTTGCAAAACAATTTGTGACGAGAGGAGTGAATTAAATGGTGAAGCACAAAAAGGGAAATTTCCATATCTTTTAGACTCTGGGCATTGACATAATTAATGTCACTAATTTTCCGTTACTGTCCGTTAACGAAGTGGAAATTTGTAAGAATAACGGAAGTGGGACGACCAATAAGTTTTATTGTCCGTTTTTTGAGATTTTAAATATACATTTTCGCATTAAATCAATGCTTTTACCAATTTGAGGTGGATTGGGACCAGTGACGGACCTAGAGATTTGTTAGAGCAGGGACACACTAGACACTAAACTTACTCTATAATAATAAAATTTTCAAATGTAATAAAGATGGTAAAAAGTAAGGCAATAGCATAAATTATACGGAGTAGTTAATTACATATTATATAGTTCATTTCTGCAACTTTGGTAATCAATACTACGAGTTTTCATATTCTGAAAATGTTGCATAATAGTTTCATTATCAATACTTTTTAAAACATCTCTCCCGATGTAACACATCAAGCAATATGTAAGATAATCATCTAAAGAAACTTGCAAAATACAAATGAACGGGTGATTGGGCGGTGCGGCGGTGCAGAAGTAGTTTAGCAAGGCAGCGGCAAGCCCCAGAAAGAGGCATGAGTGTAAACGTCCGTGAGGGTTTATATTTTGGAAGTTTTCCCCCTTTTGCCTTGTAGAGTAATAGTGAGTTATTAGTGGATTTCATTTTTAAACTTTTACTTGTTTTAGATTACTTTAAGATGACCGCACATTAATTTGGTTACCGTTTACATTTTAACTTTTTGGGTTTTCAACCCTTAACTATTTTCTATCAAAAGAAAAAAACCTTAACTATTTTCTTCTTCTTTTTTGAGATCTTTTATTTTAATTCAGCTCAAATTTAAATATTGTGCATTAACTTTTAATTTATATAACCGTAACATTTTAGTATCTTAATTATCTAATATATTGATAATATTTTGTACGGGTTGGGGGCACTAATTTTACCCGAACTAGTAGTAGTGAAATTCTTGACCGCAAGTGGGGGCATTGATTTTATTCTAAGTATTAGTAGTGAAATTCTTGATCGAAAGCGGAGGCACTTGCCCCCCAGGCCCCTCCCTAGGTCCTCCACTGATTGGGACGCCGTGACCAAATTTAGGACCATACCAAATTTAAAAATGACATTGTTGAGGAATGAGATTGCATTTTTATCATAAAAAAATAATTAATTGACATTATTTTTTAATTTTGCTCTTTTATGGTTACACATGAGCTGAGTGTAAAGAAGAAAAGGAACATACAAACTAATAACCTCACCTTTTATCGATTTTCTAGAAGAGTCTCACATAACCACAATCTCATAATATTCTCACGGTTGCACTACATTTTCTTTCATTGGTCAATGATCAATTGATCGCCCGCTATTCTAGGTATTTTTTCTTTCTTTGTAAATTATTAAATCATAAATGTAACCTTATACAAATTTTCTTGAATATAATGTTCTCTCTCTATTGACACAATGCTTTTATTATTATTTTTTTATTTACTTACCTTAATTATGTATTCGTATACCTTTATTCATTTAACATAAGAGTTTTTCTATAGATTTTTCTTTCGATAGTTTCTTCCTCCTTTTCTCATTATTTTTAATTTTCTTTCCTTTTTATGTATTTTTATTTGTTGTAGTCTTTTTTTATAATTTTAATCCGGTTACTTGTTTATATTTTTTTCTTTGAATCTTTCAGATAAGAGAAAAATATATTAGTGGTGGAATTAAGGTATGAAAAGAAAAAAGAAAATAAATAAATGAAAGTAAAGTAAAAAAATCATAAGGTGAAAAAAGAAATCTTTTATAAGAAGGGAACTAGTATGAAGAAATACATAAAAATGAAAATAAAATAATAAATGGGAAGAAGAAAAAGATGAAAAAATTGGAATGCAAAAACATGGAATAGAAATAAAAATAAGAATATTAAGACGAAAAAGAGAATAAAAGAGTCAAAGAGGCTAGGATAAAAATAAAAAGGAAACTTTTAGAGAGAGACAAAGAAAAATTGTTACCCAGGAACGTTTTGAGAAGATTTGTAAACGATGATATTTATGGAATAATGTTTTACAAAGAAAAGAAAATAACTTCAAGAACAGATCATCAAGCGGTCAGAAATTAACGAAAGAAGATGAAGGTGTGCACAAAACTAAAAATATTCTTAAATTACGGTTAGATGAGATTATTCTAAGAAAACTACTAAAAATGATACGGAGTATTATTAATTTCCATTTTCTCAAAAACGAATCCTGAAATATGAGCATTATGCACATTCTTTGCTTTCTTCCTAAAAGATGAGAAATTAAGGTACACGAATTACCTCGAACAGTCCATATGTTGAGAAATGGGGAAACTGAGGTGAATACCGCACTCCTTGTAGATCCCGCGAATCCGAGATTCAAGGAGAGAGGGACGCAAGTCTTCGATGCACTCACAAATCCTACGTGGACCTTCCTCTCTCGCGATGCAGTTCAGAGCTTCGAGGTTTGTGCAACACGTCAGCGACGGCGAGTCCTCCGCCCCACTCAGGTAATCCAAACACGACGGAAAACGACACCTCACGTCTTCGCATCGGCGCCTCTCTTCCATGCTCGGCGGCGGCGGCGGTGATGGGAAATAGTATTCCATACCTGAATTTGAATCACCCCCCTCGCCGTCGTCAGAGTACTCCGCCTTGGAAGTCCCCGCGTGATTAGAAATCACAAGAAACGCTGAAAGTGAAAGATAATAAAGCAGTAGTTTGGATGAAGAAACCATTATATTTGTGCTTATTCTTTTTTTGCCTTGATGAAATTATTAAAATTATTATTTGTATTATTGTTTTGATCAAGCAAGATGCATGACTAAAAATTTGTGTGTATATATAATGTTGTGGGAATGCACTTTGAATTTGTTTCTTCCTGCATGCTTTTGTTGTAGCATAACGTAACAAACGCAATCAATGCACGTCATTTACATTACTCCGTATAATACGAGGTGCCTAATATGGTGCCTAATATGATCTAGTTTGATCAGGTTTGAAAAATGTCCTACATTTGAATTTACTACATTTTATAAAGGAATAAGGGTTAGTTAGAGCTTCGAACTTGAAACAAAATGTCAAATAAGGCCATATTTAGGATGTTATGTTCGGCCGACGTCATTTGGGGCGGTTCCCGGTGGAATTTTTTTATGAATTTTTTTTAGAATCTTATTCATTAACTCTAGTTTACTCATATCAAATTTGAACTAAAACTTCAATCGGAAAGGCATTCAAATGAATTCTTGAAGATAACTGCTCTTTTAACTGCGCAGTTATCTTCAAGAATTCATTTGTATGTCTTCCTGATTAAAGTTCTAGTTCAAATTTGATATGAATAAACTAGATTTAATGAATACGATTCTCAAAAAATTTCATCAAAAAAATCCACCGGGAACGGCAAATTATACGGTGCAACCGGCGCACCATGAGGATGGTGCGCCCGGTTGCAAAACGACGCAACTTCACTCTCTCTTTTTTTTTTTTTTGCTTTTGTTGTTTAAAAATGATGATAACTTTCTTATTTTTGATCCGATTTTTATAAAATTTATATCAACATTTTTTATTTTTCATGATCTTTCAAATGAGACCAATATTGCTTATGTAATGTTAAGAAATTATCGAACTATTATATTAATGAGTATTGGATTATAAGGAAAATCGAATCTGTTAGGAAGATGATAGGTTTGTGAAATAGAAGATTGAATCTGTTTGGGAGTGGATCAGTGGCCTCAGTTACATTTGATAATACATTGAGTTACATCTTTTTATGAGCGAGTTACATCTTTTTATAAGCAAGTTACATCTTTTTATAAGCAAGTTACATCTTTTTAAAAGCGAGTTACATATATATAAACACGAGTTGCATTTGACATGCCTGAACGCGACTTACATATATCTACACGTAAAGTTACATATTTTTACACGTAAAGTTACATATTTATACACGCGAGTTACATATTTATACACACGAGTTGCATTTGACCTGTCTGAACGCGAGTTACATATTTTTTTACGTAAAGTTACATATTGTTACACGTAGAGATACATATTTATACACACGAGTTGCATTTGACCTGACTGAACGTGAGTTACATATTTTAACACGTAAAGTTACATATTTTACACGCAAATGTTAATATGTTAAAATTACATAGGCAATATTGGTCTCATTTGAAAGATCATGAAAAATAAAAAATATTGATATAAATTTTATAAAAATCGGATCAAAAATAAAAAAGTTATTACAATTTTTGAAAACAAAAGGAAAAAAAAATATAAAACCGTACCGGTATACGGTGCTCACCGTATACCGGTCGTACGGTATAGGAACTCACCGGGAACCGCCCCAAATGGCATCGGCCAGACAGAGAATCCTAAATATGGCCTTATTTGACATTTTTTTTCAAGTTTGAGACCCTATCTGATCCTTATCCCTTTTATAAATGTTCAAGTTTGATATGACATCTTAAAATCTAGTCTGATTTGATTTGATTTTATATGATTTGATTTGATTTGAGATTGAACTGAAATAAGTCTAATAAGTAAAAACATACACGTAATTGCATACGTACAGACATATAGTACTATACGTAATTGCGAATGAAGGATATATAGTTGTAGCCTGTAGGATATGCGGGTAATGAAACAATAGCTTCGATTAAAGACAAAATAATTTTAAATAATCCTCCATATCAATTATCATCCTTAAACTAACAATAATACATACTTTGATTTCTAATAAGTCAACTATTTTAATGTAGAATAAAAATAATATTTGAAACATATCAAATATTTATATCAAAGTAATGATTTCTATAAAAATGCAGTCAGATTTTTAGGGTAGAAAGTGAGACATTTAAAACATCAAAAATTTATATCAAATTGTCGAATAAATAAATAATATTTGAAAATACGATCACTTATTTGATATTTTGGTATTAGTTTTTTATGAATTAGATTGATTTTTTAGTCAAATATTGTTTTATGTCACTTTTGGTTTATGTGTGTCTCTATAGTTGGTATTATTTAAACTTATTTCTAAAGTAGTACATACATATTATTCTTGGACCTTGGTTCATGGAATTATTAAGATATATATAATTGCATTATTTAAAGTTGTTTATTCTCCTTAAATTAATTGGATAGGAGCTTTATTAAACTTTGGCGTTATTACGAGTAACTTTCTTTTAATACAAGCTAAATGACATATTAACGTAAGTGAAAGACAAATATTTATCTAAATAAACGTAACAGATTAGATGTATGTTGCCCGAATTAATTATTAAAGCATATACAAGGCACACTTACCCGAAGTAATGTTTTTTCCTATCAAAGTCACAGTTTGACTTTTGCGATCTCCAAGGCAGACATTTGACCATAATTTCCTATTATTAATATATACATATAAAATCTACGGTAAATGAACATTTGAATAATACATATTACAATGAAGCACATTATATAAAGTTTTTGGGATAAAATATTATTAATTTTGAGTAATAAGCGGTCAAAGTTTAACAAGTTTGACTGAAAAAGTTTGACTATGACTTTAATTATGAAACAGAGGGAGTATATACTTAGAGCCCATTTGGTAGCACGAAAATCGGTTGATTTGGCTGATTCTACTGAAATTTATGAAGTTTTGGCTGAAGTGGCTGCATTGGTTGATTCTGCTGATTTAAGAAAAAAATAAATTTAAAATATATTTTATTAATAAAATAAAGAAAAAATATATATGTACAAACAGCTAAAATGATCATTTATAGTAACTTCAGCCAATACAGCCAGAAAAGTAACTCCAACCTTACTTTTTCTGCTTATTGCACTATTCAGCGCGCGAAATCAAAAGTTACGTGTTTGGTGAAAAAGTTGGCTTATAAGCTTGATAAGAAAAAAAACAGTGTTGTCAAACGGCCTCTAGTATTTCAAAATTATGACGAGATAAATTGCTTTTAATATACTCCATTGTAAGTAGTATGATACTACTATTAAAGCATTCATCTACACTAATGAGTGATGAATTGATAACCAATTATAAATAAACTTTTATGTGACTCTTACCTATTAACTATTTCCAGATAATTATTTTTTGAATAATGCTAACATTGAATTATGACTCCCAACCATCATCTGATCTTCAAATAATCTAGGGATGGGAGTGTTGTTTAAGTCCTGCACTATGTACTTATCGCATGCATGTGCTTTTTAATTAATCTTAATTAAAATAGTTCTGATTGATATCTTATTTTAATACTCCCTCCGTCCCTAATAACTTTGCCAAGTTTGATCAGCACGATAATTAATAATGTAAAAACTATGTGATTGAGGTTTGTGCATATGAAAGAGAATTAACTGAAATTACAAATTCTTTAGTTAAAAGGGAAAATGACAAAGTTAAAGAGACAGATAATATTACTTAAAAACGGCGCATCCCCAATCTAATCTTTGACAACATGGATTGCATGAGCAAGAAGATTCGGTAGAGGGCCGGAATTAACAAAGCATGCACATTGCGTGAGACACAAACATGTAATTTCAAATGGAGTTACAAATTTGACTTTTGGATCTAACAATTTCATTATATTCTCATAAGTAAGATATCAACTTTTAATTAAATTTGAATTCTGCATCTCCATAGAGTTTTTAATGTAGTTTCTAAATATGTAAATTTTAATTATTAAAATAGAATTATTTGTCAATAGGGAGGATTTAAATTTAACATAAATTAATCAAAAAATGTTGACTTTGTAAAATAAATTTAGATGGAGGTAGTAATTAAGACCCTTAGTCAAATACGTTTTTTTAAATAAACAGTAAACATTATATATACCGAAATCAAATACAAGATTTAAAAGAGGCATTCCTCAGTTCAACGACCAACTCAACCCAACTCCCATTTACAAACATAAACCAGTCCACCAAATTAGCCCAACTCTCCTATTACAACAAAACATTCAAATCAGCCCAACTCTCCTATTACACCAAAACATACAGAGTGTTTCTCATACCAACTCAAGCTGTAGCCTAAGTGCCTAACTCAAATAGTACCAGCTTAAACAGAATCGTCTGATAAATTTGGAAGCTCCAGTTCCAAATGCAAAATTGAGGTCTCATGTATGAATAAAAATAAAATCACATACTCCGTATAATATCAAACTGACAAAATTCAAAAAAAAATAATTGTGTTCATGTGTTCATGTAGAAAAAAGGCATGATTTAAAATAACTACATATATTTATAACGCTGTCTCTTGAATAAATCTCTCCGCCTTGCCATATTTGAAGCAAAATCATCAATCAAATCCTTGTACTCAATATATACTTCGTATAACATAACTATATGTTCGGTACCTACGTACGCATGCATGTGTTTTATTATTCTTGGAGTCCTTATTTATTGTTTATTTTTCGTAGCTTTTGTTTGGAGTCTTATTATCTCCTTATTTTAGCCGTGTATAGCGCTTGTACAGCCGTAGAACTTATCAGTTTCTTACATAGACTTGCTCACAAAGTGTAAATATTGTATACATGTGTACCCTTCTGATCTATCGAATAAACACAGTTTATTACGTAAAATATTTGTTCAATGATGACAAAAAATGATGACATTATTAAAAAAATGACAATGACAAACCGACGAAAAATGAATGACGGCACGATCCAGATAAAGTGTCTGGTCGTGAGGAGGGGTGTTGAAGTACCACACCAAAAAATTGTGAAGCAATAAAATACAATATTAAGTACCACACCGTCGTTCTGCCTTCTCCATCGGTCTCTTCAAGCAAGCCTTATCCTCTCTCTAATTATGTAACTTATAATCATTTTTTGGTCCCGCATCGTGCTTTTCTTGCAACCATTTCAACTGTCAAAGAGCCGACAAATTATCATGAGGTAGTATGTGATCCAAACTGGCGAGAGGAGATGGAACGCAATGGAACTTGGACCATACAGAAGCTACCGATTGGGAAAAAACCTATACTTTGTAAGTGGGTATTTAAATTTAAATACAAAAGTGATGGTAGTATTGACAGATATAAGGAATAGATTATCATGAAACATTTTGTAACACCCCGGCTCCGTAGGTCTCGAGGTAGTGACTTCTGACCTCTAGTACTGTCCTCACAAACCGTCACTAGCTTTTTTCGTGCACTTTGTTCTCACTCGTGCGCGCCCTGAGAACCTTCCCAGGGGATCACCCATCCCAAGACTACTTCTGTGCAAGCCCTCTTAACTTTAGAGTTCTTGGCTAATGAGCTCCCTTAAAAGGAGATGCATCTTGTTGGTATGAGTAGTACTATTAATCCATTTAAATTAAATCTCAAGTGTTACACATTTGCTCCAGTAGCAAAGAAGGTCACGGTATGGACTATTATGGCGGTAGCGGCTTGTCCTCAATGGGAGCTACATCAGATGGGCGTGGACAATGCCTTTTTGCACGGGGATTTGGATGAAGAAGTTTACATGCACCCAACCCCTGGCTATTCTGTTTCTCCAGGGCATGTGTGTAAACTACTTCGATCTTTGTATGGGCTGCGTCAGACACCTCATTGTTGGTTTTCCAAACTGACAGCGGCTTTGCGTTGTTATGGTTTTAGTCAGTCTCATGATGATTATTCTCTTTTTACTTTGTGTCGGACTAGCAACATACTCTGTGTTTTGGTTTATGTGGATGACCTTCTTATTACATGAAACTGTCATGATATGATTGTTCATTTCAAATAATTCCTCGCCACTTTTTTCCTATCAAGGATTTGGGCACTATGAAATACTTTTTGGGCATCATGGTGGTCAGAAACTCCAGTGGAAATTTCTTGTGCCAACAGAAGTATCTGAAGTATGTGTTGGATATATTAGTTGAAACCGGTTTAAGTGGAGCAAAATCGATAGCATTCCCGATGGTACAGAATCATTGCTTGCAACGTGCCACCGGGCCATTTTTCTGATCCAAAATGGTATCGGAGGCTTGTTGGGAAGCTAATTTATTTGACACTCACGCGGCCAAATATTAGTTATTCTGTTCATATATTGTCTTAATTTATGCAAGAATCGCGTGTCATGCACTGGGAAGTTGTGTTACGTGAATTGAGATATCTCAAGGGTCACCCCGGCCAAGGTATTCTTCTCCGGAGCAACTCCATTGGACTTAGTGGGATATTGTGACTCAGACTGAGCCAGTTGTCCTCTCACACGGCGGTCCACTTCTGGATATTTTGTCATGTTGGGCGAGTATCATTTCTCATGGCGCACAAAGAGACAACTTACTGTCTCCTGATCTTCAGTTGAAGCTGAGTATCGCTCTATGCATGGCTTCTCTGACTTGCGAGCTGATCTGGCTCAAGAGCTTGCTCTCTTCATTGGGTGTTACACAGGCCCAACCTATTCCTCTTTTTTTGTGACAACCAAGTTGCTTTACATATTGCTTCTAATTCAGTTTTTCATGAGTGGACCAAACATATTGAAATTGATTGTCATTTCTTACGGGATCATGTCCAAGATTGTACCATTACTCTAGTTTATCGTTCCACTACTGAGCAATTAACTGATATTCTTACTAAGGCTCTAGGGGCACATCAGTTTGGTTATTTACTTTCCAAGATGGGCATTCGAGATCTCCATGCTCCATCTTGGGGGAGGGGGAGGGGGGGGGGGGGGGGGTGTTCGGTACCTACGTACGCATGCATGTGTTTTATTATTCTTGGAGTCCTTATTTATTGTTTATTTTTTCGTAGCTTTTGTTTGGAGTTTTATTATTTCCTTATTTTAGTCGTGTATAGCGCATGTATAGCTGTAGAACTTATCAATTTGTTACGTAGACTTGCTCACAAAGTGTATATATTGTATAGTGCATATTAAGTGATTATAAAGATTAATAATGTAGAGTTATTTTAGTAGTAGAAGTTTGTATTCTTTGAGCATTCCTTTGTAGGTTGAACTGTCATTATATACTCCTTCCGTCCCATCAAATACTCTTTTCCATTTTAGAAAATAATTAACACTCTTAAATTATAATTTAATTATCACATATTAAAAATAAATACATCTATAACATCTCTATTATGATCAACATCAATGATTTGATTGTATTATATATCAATCAAAATTATTTCTCAAATATACTTGAATAATTTTAAAAAAATACTAAAAATAATAAAAACTAAAAAAATTAAAATAAAAACTTTAAGAATAAATAAAGAATAGATAAAACACCTTTTAAAAAATATGTAAGCCACTGCCCAGCAACTTTACCTCTGATTGATTATAAAAATGTCATTTTGTGTAAAAACTGTCATTTTTTCTGAAAAATGTCATGAAGATGACATGTGTACTCTTGAAATGGGAGATATTAACCTAATAGTTGACGAAGTGAAGCCGTTAATTCAAGGTTGACTTAATTAGTGTCCAAATGTTACGCAAAAACGAAAAAATTGTGTTAGTTTGGTCTACTGGGAAGTTTAATTAGTGTCCAATATGAGTTTTGTAAATAACCTTGATTTTAAATTTGTGCCTTTTACCTTTACAGAATGAATAAATCGTACTTTAAGTAAAATAACTCAACAGCGGAAATAATAAATTGTTGTTTTCATGAAATCCATTAAGAGTGTGTTTGGGAGTTGGGTTTTGGAGGGGAGGGGAAGGTTAATGGGGGTTTATGATCTTCCTTTTCATGTTTGGGAGTTTTAAAAATTGGAGGGGTGATTTTGGAGGGCTTTTGTAACCTTCAAAACCCTCCAAATGCTTAATTTTTAAGTTCCCCTAATTTGGAGGATTTTGGAGGATAATTAACAAAATGATAATTTAAGCAAAATTAAAAATGATATCAGCTCAATGATTTGAATTTGTCATATTTCAAAGTGATTTTAATTATAATTCCTCCCAAAACCCTCTTCTTCCAATTTTATTACTCCAAAATACAAAGAAGGACTTCCTCACCCTTCTCTCCCTTTCCCCTCCAACAACGTACCTTCAAAGTCTTCCCCTTCCCTTCTCTCCAAACTCCCAAACATACCCTAAGTAAACAGTCCTTCCTCTTCATCATGCACAGATTCCTCATCAGTTGCATTTATTTGGGCGTTTACGTTGACCGGTAATCACGATGTACAAAATCCTGCTGCTCTCAATGTCTTATTGCTGTCATAAATTCTTAAGAGTATCACCATTATTGCCCACATAAAGGGCGTCCCAAATTCCCAATCACAGTGCTTCTGTCACCGATCGCATCATTTAAATATTCCCTTCATAAATAAACCATCTATAAATATACATACTTAGCCTCTTGGACCAAAACACCAAACATATAGCTAGTGGCGTGGGGGAAAAAACTCGAAGAAATATTTCAAATATATATAATATTATATATAGAATAATTAAGATAAAGAAAAGCAAAAACACCAATGTATTCAGTGTTGTTCCAACCATCTGTTATGGTCTTTAGGTAGTGAAATACTCCTAATCCAAGGCGCACATGTTGGTCTTGTTTTGCATGTATCCTAGCGCCTGCGAAACAAACATATTCATGAGAACATGCAAGCAAGGTGAAAAGGAATACTGGAAAAGCCAAAACACAAAAAATGAGGCCACAAACATTTTTTAAATTAATAAGTAATCATGCTATTGATAACATCTCAAACAAGTTGGATTATGATTTTATACACTTACCAGATCCTTAGTAGAATGGAAGTAATTGGAGCTAATCACAGCCAAACTTTCTTTGCCTTGCATACTTTGCAGCTCACTCTTCGAGTTTGAAGGGTTCAGCATGGCCCTACATTCGGTGCCTTTCTCTTCCAATGGAATTGTTTCAATATATTCTTCTCCTAGTACTTTTACCTCACCAGCAATATGACTATGCTGAACCGAAAAAATAACGCAGAAGGCATTATTATTACTACATATACGTCATTACACGAGTGTCCTCATATTAAGACGTGGGTTTATTTACTTCATGTCACTGTTATGGAATTAGGAAAAGCAGCATAATTTGTTGAATGTATGTTTGTTTCTTTTATTTGGCATGTGTAGGATAGTTTAACACTGTCCTTTGCAACTAAAGTCATTTACTAACCCAATAAAAATTATTCTTACTTCTCTGATGTCATTAATTGACAACTTTGAATCACGGCAAAGGGAGGGCTTATCCAAACCCGGTGTATCTTCTACATTTATAGGAACAAGCTGGACGTGGCTATCTTGCTGTAATAAAAAGAAAGAACATAAATATGAGACTATGAAACAGCAGTATGTATGTGTACAACTGTACAAGTAAAGATCAACTGAACAACCGGTTACACATCAAACAACATATATAATATATTATACCTGACAATCACTGTTTATATGTCCGGTCTTAGGAGAGTTAGTTAACTTGGATAACCGGTTAGCATGAACATTTCTGCTGCTACTGGAGTTTCCATGTCGGATATGACTCCTCATGCCACCTCTTCCCCAGGTAAATGCCTCAGGCTTTAATACAGGAGAGTCATCTTCTTGATTTTCTCCTATTCTATCAGTTGAAGTTTCCATGTAACCATCTTCTCCAGGATTGATGGTGGCCGAGGATGATGCATGATAAGTCTGGTCAGATGGAGTTCCTGCTGGTCTCCTGGTGGGCTTCACTGGTGTTCCGTGTTTGTCAGATGGGGATTTATGGTCAGGATCACCTTCGCTCTCATGGTGATCAGAGTGTTGAGGTTCAGCGGTTTGGTTGCTTCTCCTTCTTCGTCTTGAATAAGCATTCTGATATTTACGAGATCCTTTAGGTGTGGATGTTATGGATGTTGTAATCGGCTCTTTATTCAATTTCCGCCTTTTGTTTAATGCTTCAGATTGGCGCTGACAAACTTGAGCAATAGATGCTTGGATCTGTGATATATAACATTTGAATACTCATTTAACCTTTCATGGTTGGGAAGAAATAGGAATGAGAGAAGGGGGGAAGAGAGATGTATTCTTTTCTTTTCAATCTCTACCAAATTCTTCTCCATTTTTCAGGTAACAAACATGGCACAAATTCCCACATATGTCCATAACTCCTCAATCTTCATCCAGGCATTCAGACTTGTGACTTCTCTTACCATGTTTTCCCCCTTTTAATAAATAAATTTCTTGCCAAATATACAGTTCATCACCCATTTATAAGGGTTAAAATGTTAAATCTGCAATATGTTTTTTTTCTTATTTTATACTGTGAAAAGAGCAAGAAGATCACACGTAAAGATTTAACGTAAAGGTAATATATGCAAGTTTCAAACATATATATAGAATACGAAATTGAGACTGATTCTAACCTGCTGATTAAGTGCCATCTCATCTTCATGAAACACTAGTTCCTGAAATGAAGTGTTCAATAGAAGAGGAACCTTAAAATTAAGTACTGAGTGAACAAAGGAAGAAATTTATCTATTTTATGTTTTCCCCCTGCCAATCCCTTAAGTCTTGGTAAAAGGAAAGAGGGGCGCTATTGACAATAGCGGGCTAAAATCTAAATATAGAATTACCTCCTCTTCATACTTCTCAACATCTGGATATATTGCCTTGATTAGTGCATCAAATCCTGGATCGTCTCTCAGAGAACGCCGACTAGCACAGTGTATGCGACAAGCAGGGCATTCATTGTTCCTAAATATAGGTAGCTACAGTAAACAATATGAACTGGATCATACCAAATATATGGGCAATCCTATTTGACCCATTAATGATGCATACTTTGACAATAGACTAACTAGAAAGTTGTATTGAAGTATTTTTTACCCCAATCTCATTGACTTGTCAATGCACTCCCTGCAGAAACGGTGTTGGCATCCCATCACAACCCGGGTTCTCTTGATGATACCTGATATGATAAGTTGCTAAATTACACGATTCTGGTTCCCCAACAAAATCTATCGCAGAAAACTTATGTAAACTATCCAAGTTAGTCTCAACATGGACTGACAAGTTATGTTGCTTGCCGCTCTTAAAAGCAGCCTTTCGCGCATTCGAAAGATGAAAGCAAAAAAAAATGCTACAGTTATACAGTATAAATCATACGGACTTGTTGACAGTTTGAGTACCAAGGCGACATGCAAGTATAACACTAAAGCCTAAAGTGAAGAAGAGATTATAAATCAATATTTCACTGCATAAAACTTCAACCATGAAAAGTATCTCACACTAACTCTAGCAAAAGTCTGAAACATTGTTTAAAAATGTAAAATAGGAATTTTGTGGAGTACCTAGGCATATTGGACATTGAACGTTACTACGAATTGCAGATCGTGACACAGAAATCAGCCTGCAAAAGAAGTTATAGATTAGTATGGATGCCCAACAATTAATGAAACTTTAATAAGGTCCGACGCATAAATATAACCAAGACAAAAATTATTGCTTATGCTAACAGGACTGTAATGAGGTGCTGATAGTTTTTATTTTGGTGGTGGCCTGGTGGGCAAAGAGTACAACCTATGACCTGTCATGTCTTGCACATTGAACAAATTCATGGGCCAAATGAAGCTGCAAAATTTTGCACAACATTAGCAGAAAAAGACAGGGGCTCATTTTGTTCACAAGCCTCCATATGGTTGTTAAGTGATTTGGTCAATACCCAAAAGATTAGAGCAACCAACAACAAGGTACAGATATGACTGCAGATATTTCTAAACTAGTGCAGCTTAACTCTGAACTTTTATCATAATACTATGAATGATCAAGGCAGAAGAAATAATATGTACAGAATAAATTAAAAAAATCCAAACATAAGCCCAAAAAAGAAGTGATGGTGCCAGCTGTATCCTTAAAGGCCACTACTTTTGGAAGGAACGTAGAATAACGAGTGAGCATTAGCCACTAACTTAGCTTTTTAGACGTCTAAGTGCACTGAAAATGTAAAGTCAAGTGCAATAACTTTTAGCATATGGAATAAAACAATGTAGTCAATGTCATCCCAGGTTTGGCACCCTTGATGCATATCAAAACTGACTCTTTACTCAGAAATGATTATTTATACTGTCAGAATCACTTACTCAAGTCTCAAACAATAAATGAAATGGCAACTCAGGTTGCTTGTAAAAAGATTTTTCAGATTTTAAAAAGCACTTAGAGATTAATGATATGGCTGATAAGATCTTGTATAGGGTGGAATACATATAAATAATTACATAAACTGGGGGAAAGAGTAGTATATGGTTCTTTCAACATGGTACTCCTTTTACAGATTGGAAGAGGAGAATAAGGTAAAGATAAGATCTTCACGATATGTTCTTCCAAAATGGTTCACTGTTTACAGATTGAAGAGGAGAATAAGGTAAACTGGCAAAGATAAGATCTTTATGATATATCTCCAGCAAATGCAAGATAAATCTTATCTGGATGTCAAATATAAACTAGAACTAGATGCCTTGCTAAACCCTTAAGTATTTCTGGCATGGGGTTCGTAAATCTTTGTATGAAAATGTTTATTTCATATTTAAGAGTGTACGCAAGCTGCACAGATTAAATGGTAATATGAAGACACGAAAAACTAAACATGAAAATCAGCCGGGTGAAGTTAAGTGACCTAGGGACTTGATGTAGCTGAACTGGAGCAAGAATGTCCACAAGCAATAGTTGAGTGGAGAAAACTACCAAAAGTCACCACATGTTGAGCTTGCACCTGTGCGACAGGGCAGCTATGTGCTGTGTATTACTTGAAACTCCGAAACATGTGATCATGTGGTCTAGTTCTTCTACTCATGAACATAATATATTTCGCTCCTCACATTAATGTAAGTTTTTTTTATGACAATAATGTGTCCATTCACTTCTGGAATATATTCCTTTTCTGCTGAAATAATGTCAAAATTATTCTACCCCAACTCCTGTCCGTGTTTCCATGGGGCTGGAAAACAGAACTGTGAGATTGTGATTGGAATAAGGAAAGGGAATTCAAAGAAGTAAATTTTTAGAGTTAAAGGAAGTGCTACAGCAGGGTTTCCAAATTCAAAGTCAGATGTTTATAGGAATGAAGAACTATCAGCAATGGCAAAACCTGCCATTAGTATCATCCAATACTTCCATGCACATTAAATCTAGCTGAATGTTACATGTAAGCTCAGTCCAATGTGAATCCCATACAGAAGATTCAGGATATCATAAACTCAAAATAAATAACCTCAATCAATGCACAAATTTGCACATAGATGGCAATTCAGAAAGTTGACTCGTGCAATAAAGAGTAAACAACTTTCCTCAGGAAGCAGCAAATTCTAACATAAAACAAACCCAGAAATCATAACAGATTAACAGTCACTTCGAACCAAGCAAACAACATAGGAAGAAGAAAGGGAGGAGAAGAAGAAGAAGAAACGGCACACTGGCATGTCAAAACAAAACCATGCGTGCATGTAAATGGGAATAGATATATGGGATCAGGGACAAGAAATTTACTCGTCAAAGTCTTCAGGATCAGTTCCACTCTCATCAGAATCTGAAAATCGAATTGAAAACAGAAACAATTGTCAAAGCAGAAGCGGGACGAGAGGAAGCATTTACAGCTCAGCGAGAATTCATATACATATTGGGTCCGGCGACCGGCGTAAATGTACAGATTGGGAGTGAGTGTGCGCAGTCGTGCGTGTATGTGTCAGATATTCTCGAATAAATCCATCACCTTCCTCAGAAGATTGTCTGATCGATTCATGATCATGATTCGGCATCTGCTCCTCTAGCTGTAGTCGTTCCTGCTCTTCAGCTCCTTCCTGGATTTGTTGCTGCACTTGCTCTTCTTCCGGAGCTTGCTGGATTCGCTCGGCGCCACCACCGCGACGTCGAGATTGCTTTCCGCCGCGGCGTTGATTGCGACGGTGTTGAGTCTGGGAGAAGCTATCATCCTCGTCTTCTTCATGATAATTCGACGAATACCGCTTCTGAGCCGGCATTTCTCTAGTCACTACGGCCACCGCTTTCCCTTTTACAGATTATTCTCGGCTTCTCCCCCTCTGCTACCTATATGTACATAACTTGTGTGTATGTGAATCATATAGTTGCAAGCTGTAATCTATACATACAGCTGAAGATATTCAAAGGAAAAGCGAAGCTGGAGGAAGCAAATTGACAAGAACGTAAGTGTATACTGAGTCTCTTTCTTTCTACAGAGAGATGAAAGGAGATGACTATACGCAAGATAGAGCTTTTACCGTCACTATATATACTCCTCTGATGCAGGGATTATTTTTGTGATGTCTTCTTTATTTTTGGTCTCCTGTTCGACGGGTTCGGTAAATTCCATGTGAAATTGTTACGAATATTGTGGTAAACATTTAATTCACACATTAGAAATTTAAGATTTTAAGGGAGTGATTGCTTAAAAGGGTGTTTTTCGGTTTTTGATTTAAAATAAGCTGAAAAGAGTGTTTTCAAATGACAGTTTATACTTAAATTAATTAATCACTTAAAAGCTAAAAGTTGGAAGTAAGTGAAAAGGTGTTTTAAACCGCTTTTTTCACTTTTTCAGAATTATTTTTTTCTCAAAAACTACTAATTTTTACTATTAAGTACATTCTCCAAAATCACTTTAAAAATTTATTTTTTTAACCTAGAAACAATCGCAAACACTCTTTAAGTCTTTTACCACACCGTCACAATTTTGGTAAATATTTAATTAATCTCTTAAAACTTTGTCAACTTTCCTTTTTTGGTTGTCCTAGTAACTTTGTTATTTTTCATTTTTTGTAAGGAATTTGAGGTTCCAGTTAATTTTCTCTCCTATGCACAAATCTCAATCACACAATTTTTAATTTATTAATCTCTGTGGCGATCAAACTTGACCAAATTTTAAGAGACATGAAATATATTAGAATATTTGTTCCATGATAAATGTAAGAGGATGTTTGCATTTTCTATTACGTCATGTATGAATTAAGATATTTGTCTGAATTAAGTGATATTTATATGTGAAGACGTTTACTTTATGTGCTGACTAAACTGTCTGAATTGATTAAAATAATCAATTTAGTATTATTCTTGAATTGTGAAGCCAATGCCCACGTTTGGATATTGGTTGTTCAGTCAATAAGTACTATAAGAAGCGTTTGAAAACGTCACTTTTTATACACATGAAACGCTGCAACTTGAAGCGTTTGAAGAGAAAACATTGAAAAGCAAACACAGTCTATAAGAAATTTCATTTATTGACATAAATCCATTTCACAATTGATTAAAAAAAGTGACAGAAAAAATGTCCTAATGGGAATGAGTACTATATGTCACCTTAATGATTAAGTCAATTATTTGACTGAATGATTAAATCGTGTTTTCAATTAAGCCGTAAATAAACATGACTTAATGGCTGAACGAGTAAATCATTCTCATCAAGTCCATTAAGTCGATAGTAACCGGTCCCTAAATGTTATATGAAGTCATTGTTGGAATAAATCCATGAATACTTTAATCTTCATATTGAAATTATCTAGAGAATTAACTGAGCGGAAGCGTACCTGACTCCATTGGAGATAACCTTTAGAGATCCGGGAGACGGAGGCTAGAGTTTGCGTCTTCTGGTTGATACACACCCTCAGGATTATCTCTTTAGCGATGGGATGCAGAAAGACAGAATGGCATGTTCAACTAGGGACCATAACCCCTTATTTATAGAGAGTGCTTAACCTTAATCAGCCCATCATTGATTAGGTCAAACCCATGGGTCTCTACACATTTGAGCCCTATACCTTATTAGATAACTTATTAGCCCACTTAAATTAATATGCATAGGACCATTAATTTTTGGGCCTAAATATAAGATAGCATATAACATACAATTAAACCCGATAAATAATATATTGTGAATATTACATGTAGTATAAGTCCAATAATCTAACAATCTCCCACTTGGATGACATACACATGAATACACACAATCCTTAGCATTGTATGTTTACTTTAGGAGCTCCGAAATTTTGCTATCAAACTGTAGTCATCCTTAATCAATCTGGTCCATTAATTATATCCACATAGGATCAAAGAAGTCTTTGTTATATTTGAATAACTAGACCCATCAATGATCACGTATATTAACATAATAAATGACATGGATCAAGTATAGGTGTGTAGCGTGGAAATAACATAAAGTGTGGTCTGGAATAGAATGTCTATTTCCAACTGGTCCACCTTGAGATCAATAATATAACTGTAAGAGTACAATAAAACTTTAAACTTTATTTCTGCAGAAAATAACATTAAACTTGAGTTAACCAAATATAGAAACATTACAAACTCCCACTAAAACTCATAATCCTCAACTGATTTGACACCCATTTGAGCAACATGCTCATGAAACACTTTGGGTGGTAATCCTTTAGTGAGCGGATCCGCAATCATGGAGTTTTTGCTGATGTGTTGTATAGACAACTTTCCTTCTTGTACTCGTTCTTTAACAGCTTTAAATTTGACCCCAATGTGTTTTGCCTTGGTCAAACTACTGTTGTTCTTAGCATAAAGGACTGCTGACCTATTGTCACACAATAGCTTAAGTGGTCCTTCAATGTTGTCCACTATGCGCAGTCCACTAACAAAATCTCGCAGCCATAATGCATGATTGGATGCCTCATAACATGCTATAAACTCTGCTTCCATGGTGGAAGTAGCTGTAAGAGTCTGCTTGATACTCCTCCAGGAGATAGCTCCTCCAGCTAGAATATAAATGTAGCCTGAAGTGGATCTCAAGCTATCTTGACATCCAGCAAAATCAGAGTCGGTATACCCAATGATCTCAAGCTGATCCGATCTCCGATATGTGAGCATATATTCCTTTGTTCTCTGTAAATACCGCATGACCCTTTTGGCTGCTTTCTAATGGTCCATTCCCGGATTGCTCAAATATCTGCCTAACATCCCAACAATGTATGTCAAATCAGGTCTTGTACAAACCTGGGCATACATCAAACTTCCTACAGCCGAAACATAAGGAATGTTCCTCATTTCTTTAGATTCAAAACCATTCTTAGGGCACTGCATGAGACTAAACTTGTCTCCTTTGGAAACTGGGGTATCTCCTGGTTTGCAGTCTTGCATACCAAACCCTTTGAGAACCTTATCGATATAGCTCTTTTGTCAGAGTCCAAGAATGCCTTTGGAGCGATCTCGGTGAATTTGAATTTCTAATACAAAAGAAGCCTCACCAAGATCTTTCATCTCAAAATTCTTTGAAAGAAATCTCTTAGTTTCGTGCAATAAGCCTATATCGTTACTAGCAAGTAGTATGTCATCAACATACAAGACCAGGAAAATATGCTTACTCCCACTGAACTTGTGGTATATACAATCATCACTGACGTTTGGTTGAAAACCAAAAGATATAATGACTTTATGAAACTTGTGATACCACTGACGAGAAGCCTGTTTGAGCCCATAGATGGATTTCTTTAATTTGCAAACCATTTTCTTTGAATCTCCCGAAACAAAGTTTTCTGGTTGCTCCATATAGATTGATTCCTCAATGTCACCATTGAGAAACGCAGTTTTTACATCCATCTGATGAAGCTCAAGATCAAAATGTGCCACTAATGCCATTATTGTTCTAAAAGAGTCTTTCGAGGATACCAGAGAGAAAGTCTCTTTATAGTCAATTCCTTTCTTTTGAGTGTAGCCTTTAGCAACAAGACGAGCTTTAAACCTTGTAACATTGCCCTTTGAATCCCTCTTGATTTTAAATATCCATTTACAACCAATGGGTTTAATACCTTCAGGCAATGAGACTAACTCCCAAACGTCATTGTCACTCATAGACTTCATCTCATCTTTCATGGCATTAATCCATTCTTGAGAGTTGGAACTTTCCATGGCTTGTCGGAAGTTGATTGGATCATCTTCCGCAAAACCAACATCTGATTCTTGTTCTTGGAGGAAGACAATTATTTCTTCCACCAATTCCCAATTTTCCTCATGTTCTTGGAGAAATACAATATAATTATCCGGAAGTGCGCTTCTCCTCTCTCGAGTGGATCTCCTTAATGGCACCTCAGGTTCTTGAGGTTGTTGAGATTGATCCTCATTAACAAATTCAGGTACTTGATTGGGGATGTTTTCGAGATTGTCATGAACTGGAGTTGTTTCTTGAACATTATTAGGAATAAATATATCTTGATCATGTTCAATGACAACTGAAGGAAGAGTAACATGTTCTTCCTCAAAGAAAAAATCTCTAACCTTATCTCCCCACCCCCCAAACTCAATATCCTCAAAGAACCGGGCATTACCCGTCTCAAAAATAGTCCTGGTAATGGGATCATAAAATTTATACTCACTTGACCTCTCAGAGTATCCTACAAAATAGCTACTAACTGTTCTTGAGTCCAATTTCTTTTCATTTGGCCTATAAGGCCTTGCCTCAGCTGGACAACCCCAAACATGGAAATGATTTATACTGGGTTTCTTTCCAGTCCAAATTTCATAAGGGGTTTTAGTTGTAGCTTTAGTGGGAACTCTGTTAAGTATGTAAGCTGCAGTTTTCAGTGCCTCTCCCCAGAGGGAATCTGGTAAAGTAGTATGACAAATCATACTCCTAACCATGTCCTTCAATGTACGGTTTCGTCTCTCAGCAACACCATTCATGCTAGGAGTTCCTGGCATGGTGTATTGAGGAACAATTCCACACTCCTCTAGGAATTTAGCAAAGGGCCTTGGACGTTGTTCACCGGAACCATCATATCTACCATAGTATTCACCACCACGGTCAGATCTAACGGTTTTTATTCTTTTGCCTAATTGATTTTCAACTTCGGCCTTATAAGATCTGAACACGTCTATTGATTGGGACTTTTCATGAATGAGATAAAGGTAACCATAACGAGAGTAATCATCTATGAATGTGATAAAATATGTTTGGCCATTTCTACATGGTGTAGGGAATGGTCCACAAATGTCTGTATATATCAATTCTAATAGATCTGAAGCTCTCTCAGCACCTAATCTCCGTTTGTTCGTTTGTTTTCCCTTAACGCACTCAACACAAATATCAGAATTTGAGGAGTCAAGAGAATCAAGAATTCCATCTGACACAAGTCTCTGAATTCTTTCTTTAGAAATATGTCCTAGACGCTTGTGCCAAAGTGAAAACGAATTCTCATTGGTTAATTTTCTTTTAGTACCACGAGTACTTACATGCAAGGTTTCATTATATTAG